TTTCCAGAAATCTCTTCTCTCTTTTCTTCTTCATTTTCTTCTTCCTCCCGTGAAAGCTCCAAGGCAAAGGTAAGATTCCTTGTTAGCTGGTGATTTGTTGATTTTAAGAGTGGGTTTTGATCCTTAGGTAATACTTAAGATTATGGAAAGCTTAGGTTGTCCTAAAATCAAAAGATAAAGGAGATAGAGAGGATTAAAGATTAGTGGTTCTTGAATGAAATCTTGAAATAGAGTTTATAATAAGAATTGAAAGTTGGATTTGACTTGTCATCAATCTAAGTAAGAGATATGAAGTAATATAATTGGATTTGAAACATGTTGCAAAATTGATATAATTATTGAATTACATATGGAAGATAGGATTTTTAGGTTTAAGATGAAATAAATGAGTATAGATTGGTTTAAGTATGTGTACTAGAGTTAAGAATGAAAAAGGGGATGAAACATGAAGGATTTAAGCCAAAATGAATGAATTTTCGGGTTCAAAAAGAGGATTCTGGGCAGAGTGCATCGATGCATATTCATTGTGCATCGATGCATCAAGGTTAAAACCCAGAAATTTGTTTGAAGGTGTATCGATGCACAGGTAGTGCATCGATGCACTCTTTTAAAATAGAAACATTGAATGCAATTAGTGCATCGATGCATAAGGCATGCATCGATGCATCCCAATAATAATACAACGTCGAATGTATTTTATGCACCGATGCATCAGTAGTGCATCAATGCATACCCTTATTGAAATAAGAAATTGGCATTTATCTTAATCTAAAGAGTGAACCATTAGAGTATATTAGTTATAATACTAATATAGATCTATGTATGATTATGTAGATATAGAACGTGATCCCGTTCTGAATTAATTGAAGGATTAGAATCGAATCAAAGCAAAGCTAAGGTGAGTGCACATTATTTAGTATATGATGTTAAATGGAAAATAAGACTTATGATAAGTCTATTTCTAATAGTAAAATGCATGAATTCATAGAGGTATGTGTTTGTTATGATTTATATGTGTGCATGAGTATATGTGTTATTGATATGATTTTATGATCATAGGATGTAAACTATGTGGTAAGTGATAAGTGACTATATGAAATTATATGAGAACAAGAGATGACAATGATTTACATGTCATATGAAAACCAGAGAAGTGTTATAAGCAAAGTGACATATATGTGATAAATGAATGATATGAAAAGTGAGATAAACAAAGTATGGTTGATATAGGGTAATATAAGAATAGCTCATAGGTTATATGATAAGGATGGAACCATATAGAAACATTAATTGAGTACTTGATAATAAGTCATAAGGTTATATGCATAGGTAATATAAGTTATAAGATGAGAATATATATGAATATCAAATAAGTTATGAGATAAGTTATATGACATTGATATATAGGCTAAATGAAAGTATACACATGAATACATATATAAGTTTATATGTTATTTTATATGCTATGGGATATATCCATGAACATATGTGATGTGATATATGTTATGAGAAATGACCCATGTGACTAAGTGTGAATTGATATAAGTATGTGATATGAAGTTATGGGTATATGTGTCATATGTTATGATAGGTGAAAAAACCGTGAGCCTATATGATTATGTGTTATATGTTACATGATTTGACATGCGAGTTACATGAATAAATGAGAAATGATATTAGTTATATGAAACGATCTACGTGAATACATGCACTTGTGATACATGTGATATGATATGAGATATATGGTTACACATACATGTGGTATGTGACATAATAGAAATAACAAGTGATATGAAATGTTATAAATGATAATGCCCATGTTATGTGATATGAGAGCTACGGGTATAGTTGGCATGCCAAGAGTAGAGGGTATACCTATGTTCTACGGAACATATGGACAGAATTACCTATGTCTTTCGAGACATATGGACAGTATACCTATGTTCTAAGGAACATATGGACAGTTTCCCTAGGTTCTTCGGAACCTATGGACACTTAGCGAGGATCTTTATGACCTCTGGATAGGTCTTTCGGGATATTTATATGAGCTGTGGTGACAGCATATGTGTGCACAACCTCAATGTACTCACATACCTTAACTTCTCACTAGTGTACATGGGCTAATAAAGAGATTAAACAAACATACGAATGTGATATGTATACGATGGGTTATAAATGGTTATCAAAAGTAAGTGGTTTGAAATGTGTTACATGAACCATATGATGTTATATGCGTTTCTTAATGATAATGATAGATATTATGATAATGATGGTATATGTTTATGTATGATTTATGTTATATGAAATATTATATGTTTTACATGCCTCACTAAGTCATCGACTTAGCGTGTGATTGTTTCACACGTAGGTTTGGAAAGCGAAAAGAGAAGTAAAGAGGAACAAGACAAGTCAGTTCTCCTTACCGAATGTCAGATCAGAAGAGAGGTGAATAATATGTATTTTTATATATAAAGTTCTAGTTGTCATGTAATCAAAAGAATATATTGTATAAGCTCTGAATAGTTTTGTAAATGTTTTGAATAAGTTAAATGTTATGAAAGTTTTTAAAATTACTCACTATTTTATATGAATAAATGTTTGAAAAGTCAATGTGACACTTCGGACTCGTATCCGGGTTGGATACGGGTTGGGGGTGTTACATGTCCTTAGGAAACAACCGTCGGATGTAGTCAGGAGGGTAGAGTCGATTTCAGTCGACGGTGCCAGAAGGAGAAGACGACCAAGGCGGAAGTGGGAAGACTGCTTGAGATCTAATTTGAAGGATTTAGCCCTTACCGAGGACATGACATCTGATAGGAAAGTATGGAGACTTAAGACCAGGGTAGCCAAGTAGTGCGGGTCACATCCATAGGGTGTATCATCTATGTCGTCTTTTATGCATTTGTAGTAATTTCCATGACTTCTACTTTTTATAGGTTTCTGTCATTGGAATTTATGAAGGCTTAGAACTAGGGTAGCGGAGTAGTGTTGCCTTAGTTTAAGTTTTAACCCAGTTGACTTTATTCATTCTCATAGCATGCTATCGTTGACTCCTGTGTATCATTCTCTTCATATTTCCTCTTTTTAAATTTAGTCGGGCCTTACGTTTCTGTCTATATGCAGAGATTTTTACATATGGATTTATTTGCAGGGATTACTTCCCATTACAGACACGCATAAGAAGACTGTATATGAAAACTGTTCAACTATGTATTTATTTATTTATACATGAATTGCATTTTATCTTTATTTTAAATTTTTTGACTGCTGGAGGTCTTCCACGGAAGCTGCTCTCAACCCGGCGTTGGGGGCAGCCTACTACCATACCTCCCCCTTATCCCATTGTATATGGGAATATGGTTTTGTTGTTGTTGCTCAAATTAAGGTAGTAGACAAATTAAAAACAGAATCAGAATCAAATTGTATTAAATGAAAATCCAAGGAAACAAATCATATACAAGTAGTAACCGAAATGAAAGAAAACAAAGCAGAGTGTCAGCGTCGTGAATACGTAACTTTACAAGGACTCGTGCCCTAATTATATCAATTTTGTTAATTGCACTTATGTTAACTGTTAACAACATTCTGCCTATATTGAAACCATTTAAATAGTTAATTGGTCATATTGACACAAATTTGAAAATAGTGGTCAGTTCGAGACAAAACTCATAATTGGGTAGTCATTTATGTAGTTAACCCTATAAAAAGGTTGATATGTTGAATTCAAACTCATTAAATGGAAGAAAAAAAACAAAGTAACAGATGGTTTGGTAAAATTATACATCTTGACTAATAGTTCAATGGTAATTTACAAAACAATCTCTAAAACTATTCAAGTATTTTCTACAAGGACTTTAACCCCTCTTACACTTGTATAATATCATAATTAGGCTCCCTCTAGGCTAAAAAACATAACTAATTATAATTAGATCTACTATATATACCGTACAAATGTACACAGTCGACTTAGCTTTTGATATCAACATGAAAGTAAAAATCAGAAATTGGCATGCTCATATAAACTTAGTTTTTTTTATAACCAACTCAATAACCATATTTTAGTCCTTTGTCATCTTTTTCAAAACGCCGCTAGAATCGCCGCTGTAGAACAGTTTTACTTCATATATGAAGTAATATGAATATCTGCATTTGAAGTTTAACAGTCCATGCATGACAAGATCAACAGAAGCTGCAGTGCCTGGAACTTTTGCATTAATGTAAATATATAATACGGAGTACACAGGAATTTATGTTAGGGACAAACGTATAATATTTTAAGGGAAAAAAATTGATTTGGACCTTGTTCTTCATTAGCTGCTCCAAAGGAAGAGAAAAATGGGAAATCAATCTCGTATGGTACAACTAAAAGTCTACAAATGAGTTAGTTTTGGGCCCCCAACGAACGGAAAGAATGGATTGCTCCTTCATCCTTGCATAGCATGCATGAATATATGCCAATAGAAACAGCAAGGCATGGAAGATTCTAGAATGTCTACAACTAGCCTTTTTTATATTCTTCGGACATAAAAAAGAACCAACAAAGCAATGACAATGAATGTGATTGAATGATGAACTGTGGGGTCGACTCTTGCACTATCTCAGCAACTTCCCTTGCAAGGGGGAAACAATCCTAGTACCATATGAAAAAGAAAATGAACAGAATCATACGTACTTTAGTCAATCCTTTTACTAAGCAAGTCAAAATTCTCGATCCTTCCTCTTTAGTATTTATCATTTCCATATATGCACAAAACCCTTGCCACGTAGGAGAAATGATCTAAAGCCTACATCATCACCCTCCTCAGTAAATTGGAAAAACTGTAAACGCGGTTTCTGGGGAGGGTCCCTCTCACTTTTGGAACCTTAGACCCCAAGGGTCAAATTATGTAATTTCTGATGACCTTTCACTTCAAAGACCAGTGACAGTGTCAGTGACAGTGCCAGTGCCATATAAACCAGTACGTAGTTCACTCTGTTCTTACAACACAATACAGCAACGATTGTTTTTTCATCTTTTTTTACTTCCATCAGATCACCAGCCTTCCTTCTTCTTTTTCGGTTTTGAAATGAGGAACAAAAAGGGTTACCACATCATTCGGTCAATAGCTAATGAAGAACGGTTCAGCAATTACTATTGCTATTACCTCTTCTGGGTTGCTGTCGGTTACTATCTGTGGAAAAAAATACTCAGCATAACGGGGTACAGATTCCACCCCACGGATTTCGAGCTCCTCCATTTCTATCTTCACAACAAAAACCTCGGCCGTGATTCTCTTGTCCAAGCTATCGCTGAAGTTGAAGATATTTGCGGGTTAGAGCCGTGGCAATTACCTGGTAATAATAACTACTTATATTTCACCAGATGGTCTAGTTTCACACAGCCTTTTTGATACCATTCAATAATAATGACTTTCTTTTGTAGGACATTCGAATATACACTCCGGCGATCAGGTGTGGTATTTCTTTTACAGGCCGAGTTTTAAGTACCAAAACAGTTCGAGAATCAATAGAACAACCAGCGAAGGTTACTGGAAACCGACGGGCAAACCTCGCAAAATTATGGCTAGGGACATGGAGACCGAGATTGGCAAGAAAAGGACGTTGGTTTTCTATAAGGGGCGTGTTAGTGATCATGAAAAAATCAAGACCGGTTGGATCATGCATGAATATGAGCTCACTGCTACTGATCTTCCTAACCAGGTATATATGTTTTTTCTATGTATGCTATGTTCCTACAATTTTTGTTCTTTGATGACATGATTTTACTTCGGTTGTTTTGTTTCCCTTTTCATTTGTGCAGACAACTTTTGTTCTCTGTAAATTGAAGAGGAAATTCGGGAAGGATGAGGTTTCATGCATTGAAGAATGTCAGTCGAGTCATTATTTGCCTCCTAACTTGGGGAATTATATTGAAAATAATGCAAATGAGGCAAAGGCTGCTAGATGCCTCACGGTAATTTCATGCTGATTAATAGTATAATTGACCTGTTTTTCATAGTCAATATGATGATGTTACATGTATATATGTTGCTAAACTTATTATTTTGTCTGCAAATGATACAGGACAGAGAAGACCCTAACAAGATGTTAGAACAGGTGGAAGTTCTTGATGATCATCAAGGGCTTGAACATCAATCTATGGAGTTGTGGAATTCATATCTTGTCAGCGGTTGTCCTAATACCGGCTCTTTGCCTTTTGATTTCAGAAACCTAGATGCAGAATATGCAATTCCAATTGTAAGTTCTTAGTGTGGGGATAGGTTCTCTCGTGGTGAATTTTGATAAATGAAATCGAACTGATTTACTAATATTGTATGATTTAGCACCCATCGGTTAACGAGATACCAATCGAACAAGAGGAACCTCAAAATCAATCTAGCACCAATGAACAAGGCAGAAACTTAGGGAACGTAGTGCCTTCTAATGAAAGAAGCAATCAATATGATAGATCTACCATGCCATCTAATTCCAGAACTGATACTGCTGAAGATTCAGTTCAGATAGTAAGAAATGGCTAGCCATAACATCTCTAACTGCTTAGTCATTTGGTCATCAATATCTAGAATTAATGATTCTTTATTATGATATATATAGGATTTATCAAATTCGGTTGGACCATCAATGGATGAAATCTTCGGAAAACTAGAAGCACTTCCAGAAGTAAATGGATTTGTAAGAAACTCCTTTACAATTTTTTTTTTAAAAAAGTAAACACTGATGTTTAATTCCATTTCTGATTCAGGTCCAGGGAAACAGTTGTGGCCAAATGTTTGATGATTGGCCTTTAGATTACAGGATGTCCGAAGATGGAAACACATGGGATGCTTTCGACAATCAAACTAGCATTAACGAAGAGCAAAATCTAACAGGTATAGATAGTGAGCGTAGTTTGTGTTGTGCAGGCATATTGGATTCACCTCATGCAGTAAATATGTCCAGGAAAAGATTACGCACTGATTATGAAGATTTGGTTTGGACATGAATTCCCAGTAACACAGAAAGAACCCTCTCCCCCTCCCTTGTAATATTGGGGGTCTTTAGGAGGAGTTAAAGAAGATTGTTATTTGGATTTCAACTAGTTTGTAATTTCTGCTTGTGTATGCTATAACTTGTGTGCATCTGAATATATGTAATTTGATGTAGATTCCATAACGTCCTTGATACGGGATTTCAGAATTAGAATATATGTAATTTGAAGTCATTTAGGAGTGAATGAATCTTGTAACTTATGTGAATTCGAATTTTATATACTTTAGTTTTTGTTGTTTTCTTTATGAATTTATCAACAAGGTTTTAAGTTAATTAATGACTTGTTTTCTCTGAAGAAGAATTAAGAATGAGTTTTAGTAATCTTCATGCGAAAATCACCACATCCCATCCCAAGGCCCAAGCTATTCTCATTGACATGGTGCGAATTATCATATATAATTAAAAACAAAAAAACAAAAGCATATTATATGCATCACTATATCTTGTTTTTCCAAGATGACTAGTCGATATATAATTTATGTTGCTGTAATTAATTAAGGAACGAATTACTATCCCAACGATTTTAGGGGGGGAAAAGTTAGTGTGGCTATTACTATATTGTTGTCATCTATAAAGAGATGTGGAATTAAACACATACTAGGTATCAATTTCATCATATGATCTTTAACATAAGAATCAATTCATTTTTAAAGGGACAAGTCCTTTGCTCATAAATATTCTCATTTGGATAAGTTATTTGCCAACCTAGGAAGAGAAGCAATTACTTGGTGTTTAATGGACTCATTGTTAGGCTAAAATTTATACCAGAGTTAAAAGTATTAGTTGTAAAATCAAAGCCTAAGTTTTTGTGTGTGCAAATTATAGTTTCTATAATAAGGAGATAATGCGATCTTTGGATGGTGTAATAAAATATTCACATTGGGTGTGATCAGTTCATTATATTTTTAATTATTTATATTGTTATTCATTTAATTAGTATAAAAAATTATTTTAATATAATATTTTTAAAATTTTAAACTTAATAAACCCTAATCTAAAAATCTTAAACAAATAAAATAATCCTTACACTGATGGAGTTTGTGAAGAAGGATAAAAATGTGTCTTATTAACTTGATTATGATGGGTGGAATTAGGGGTGTTCATTCGGTTAAAACGGTGGCCGACCGAACCGAATTAACCATAACCGAATTAATCAAATTTATTTTTCTTTAACCGTTAACCGAACCGAATTTTTTTTCAAACATATTAACCGAACCGAATAAATTTCGATTAATTCGGTTAATTTCGAATTAACCAAATTTTTTTTAAAATTTTCTAATTTATATAAAATTAAATATTTTTTAATTCAAAAAAAGTTTATAATTAATTTAAATAATAAATAATTATAAAATAAAAATTTTAGATAAATTTTTTAATTAATTAATATTGATTTAAGTTTAAAAGTTATTAGATCTTAAAGTATTAATTGGGTTTTAAATGGTCTGGGTTTAGCCCATATGTTATATATAATATATTTAATATTTTTTAATTAAAAAACAGTTTACAATTAATTTAAATAATATATAATTATAAAATAAAAAATTTATATAATTTTTTAATTAATTAATATTGATTTAAGTTTAAAAGTTATTGAATCTTAAATTATTAATTGAGTTTTTAATGATTTGAGTTGAGCCCATATGTTATATATAATATATTTAATATTTAAAATTTAATTTCGGTTAATTTAGTTAATTCGGTTAATTAATCGAATTCGAACCAAATTAACCGTTAACCGAATTTTAAAAATTTTCTTAACCGTTAACCGACCGAACTAATTCGGTAACCGAATCGAATTAATCGAATTAATTCGGTTCGGTCGGTTAACCGAATTAATTCGATTATTTGAACACTCCTAGGTTGAATAGTTAGTGAGGAGCATAACAAACTTGGAAAAGGAGAGGGGCAGAAAGTGAGTTGATCAGACACGGTTTCCAAATACCAGTTCTTTTATCAGCTCATATTCAGAGCTTCAAACACCATATTCATTGACCTCTCTTTTTCTCTCTTTATAGCTGATCAAAAGATTGACGCGGTTTAAGTGGGGTCTGGATGCTGCCTTTTTCCACAACCAAAAAACTTACAATGCAAGCTATTCTAATATTCTCATTTCTTACTGCTTCACTCTTCTAATATTCTTCCTTTTTTTCAAAGTGATGTTCATATTTGGTTATTTCATTTATTTATTTTTTGAGTAATTGGTCACCCAATTTAACCTAGCATGAAACATCAAGTTATGTTTTGTTGTTTCCTTGCAGTTCAAGCAGTTTTCAATTTTATTTTGTCTTGTTTCTTCGTTCTATCTGCTGAGCTACTTTGGATGAACATGAAGCATGTTAAGGGATTTAGATTCCACCCAACAGATGCAGAAGCCATGGAACTTCTATGGGAAAAACAGGTTCTCGACCGTGATTTGTTTGTCCAAGTTGGTGATTCACCCGTTCCACTCATAACCCACTTCGAAGACATCTGCAAATTCGAACCTGGAGAATTGCCTGGTAAAGCTACTTGTTGCATGTCCTAGTTTTTGGGATGCCCACTTTGTAAGTTGTTTCTTTTTCTTTTTTGCAGGGTGGTCGGAGTTACAGTCAAGTGACAACGTCTGGTATTTCTTTTGCTCACCAAAATACAAGTACCATAATAGTAAACGAAAAAACAGAGTAACCAAGAAAGGTTACTGGAATCCGACGGGAAAACCCCGTGAAATAGTGACAACATTCAACGGAAAAAATATCACTGGAACCAAACAGACCATGGTTTTCTACAAAGGTCGGGTTCGTGATAAAAACAAAAAAGAAAATAAGACCCCATGGCTCATGCATGAGCTTGAGCTCACTCTTAATCTTCCAAACCAAGTATGTTCTATATGCACGGATCCTTTTTTTCCACTTTTATGCCTGTGTTCTTTGGTGATGCAACATATATATATTGGTTTCCAAGGAATTTTTCGGTGGAGTTTTTTCTTAAATTACAAGGCATATATTGTTTTTTTTATTTCTCTGGATCAGTTAGCTTGATAAATTTCTTTTTCATTTAATTGTTTGTAGAAAAGTTTAACTCTTTGTAAATTGAAGAAAAAAGGGAGGAAGGTAGATATTTCAACAGGTGAAGAAGGGCAATCAAATCTGTGTTTGCCTTCTAACTTAGAAAACCACTGTCCAAACAATGCAATTCCAGAGGTTAGATGTACCCAACTTCTTTAAATTATCTTCCTTTATGTTAATGATGGTGAACAATATTAAGAGGTTATGATCTATTTCTCTATGATTCAGGGCCAGTTAAACTCGAAGGAGCCATTAACAGAGCCAGTATCATTCACTGAAAACAGTGGAATTCAATCTGAATCAGTCGCCAATGAACAGACTATAGATGAATTTGTGGATACACTTATTAAGAATGATGAGTTCTACAGCAATCAACCAACCTTTCTTTATGAGAAAGAAGACTCCATGCTATATTCTGACTCTCAAATTTATAATGTCAATACCGATATTCAAAAGGTAAGATAGGGGATTTCTTTATTGTTTTCTAATAAAAAATTTCACAAAAAAGTGCATCTAAAACCAAATTTGGTTTATGATTCAGAACCAGGAAGGCTTTGGTGAGTTGCTAAACCAGAAGCTGAAGGCACCTAATGACTGTGTTCCGGCTATGAACCAAATTTGGATCAGTGATCATGATAATTCATCATGGAGTTCAGTTGTATTTGCTAATGATCCAACCAACCCAAATGGAGATGACAATCAACAGAATACTTTATTTGCTGAAGAAAATGGAGATGGCAATCAACAGAATATTTTATTCTCTAGCTTGGCTTTTGAAAACCATGTTCCAGTGGATTCCATTCCAACGGTAGGTTTTGTGAGAAATTTTCAATCAACATTTTGCGGTGATGAAGGGTGCAATAACTAAGCTGTGGGTTTTTTCTTTCTTTCTTCTCTTATCTTTTTATGATTCAGGAAGGATCAGAGTTTAATGAATTTTTCCACAATGGGATACAATACATAGCTAAATTATTATCACCAGTACCAGAAGCACCTAAAAACTCAGACGAGGTTCGAAATTGTGATGATGGGTTTTGGAATTCAATTGTCTTCACCACTGATAAAGCTGAAGCTTATCCTCAACTCTTTGAAAGCAAGCAACACAGCTTAATTACTTCGAACCAGAAGGTCAACTTATCCTCCATGATCACACTGGATGATCCATACCCAATGGAGGGACAAGCTGGTTCTTATAATAAAACAAACTTCTAATAAGATATAAGTGTTACATAGAATTTAGGCATAGCGCACTCTAGATACTAGAACCCTTTATATGTGTGTGTGGATAAGTGGCTGATTTTATCATTCAAGAAAATCAGCCAGAGTGAAGGAAAGGTACTTCAAATTTAAAGTATGTCTTAGAACCCTTATATTGCCTTATGCACAATGCACAAAAAAGGCATTAGCCTGTGTGAACTGCAATATGTATGTGTGAGGGTTATATGGTGTCTATGTGTGTATATGGCTATTGTATGGTCTAGTGTAGTCTATCTACAAAACATACAATCTTTTATATCAGTCAAATAACCAATATCAATATGTGTGTTTTCCTTGCAAAAAAACCGTGTGCCTAGGCTCTAGTCTTCCTACTAATCAAATGGATCTCACCTGAAAAAGGTTTGAGGGGCATTGTCTAGTCCTGAGCCTGGCCTTAACAATATTGATAGAATTAATGAGAAATTAGGGATATCAACGTGAGCATAGTGTAACAGGGCATCTATGCTATAATATAAGTATGAAAGGACAAGGTATGAAGGAGAATATGAATGTGTGTGTAGCATGGATGCGTTTATAGATAATTGAGATTACACATAACAGAAAATTGAATGAACAAAAGCTATTTTTAGTTTGAATATCATGTGAACAATAAAAAAATAATCAAACTATCTCAATGTCTTAACTAAAAACCTGTGTTATACAAAATTTTACAACATGTGCGATGAAGCAGGCCCATATACATCGATTCATAGTTGACTTGGTTATCACTAGTTCACAAGAAAGAAACATTTCATCAGTTTCTGACAAACACGATGGAGTTTGTTAAAGTTCAAGTAGAAAAATAAAATAATTCAGGAAAATAGTTGAGATCTCAGATACCAAAGTGCCACTGAAATCATAACAGAAACATGATAACCAACACAACTGATAACATTTTGCATGGATAGAATCTTTAATTTCATTCATAATATCCTCGACCACTCCTCCTCCCCATCCCATCAGCTAGGGTCAGTTGTAACAATTACTAAATATCATATAAATTCCAAGTTCCACTAGAGGCATATTAATCTACAATCCAAAGGGAAAAACCCTACTTGACCACATTCAAGGCTCATGCAGTTGACATAGTAGTTAGGAAACAGCTATCGCAACTATGAAGAATGAATATAAACACAAATGATGATTATCTAACATGTGAAAAATTGCAAAGTATAGATTATCTGACCTTTTAGTGCCACTGAATTAGATGAGAAAACAAATAAATCAATGATGTAAATCACTGCAGGTGGAAACTCCCAGACCTGCAGAAAGCAAAACTGGAGTTAGATGTATGATCATGAAAGATAAAGATAGAACAGTGTTGTGATTTCTCAAAACAAGATGTCATTCTAGTCAACAGGCCAAGTGCCATTAGAAAGCAAACCATCATCGCAATGAGAAGAATCTTGAAGTAACTTGAAATTAGAATTGCAAGCAGCAGATCTCTGAAGCTGTGACGTTTAGAACAAAACAGTGATCCATACAATAAATAGTTAGTCCATGATAACCCTACAAATAAATACTGAAATGAGTACCTTGTCTCATAGTAGCCCACTAAAAAAAAATGCAAATATTTACCTGGAGAATCGAGCTGATGTCTTAAGCAAACTCTTGATTGCAAGAAAAAAAGAACATAGAAACATATAGTTTCCCAGAAATACATCCACCAACACCTACAATTGGCATTAGCAAAGACATTCATTAGAAATTATCTACAGGCCAAACATTAGAAATCTAGAACCTGAATTTTTTGGCACTTCCATAAGATGAACAAACCTTACGATATATCCAAAAGAACGAAGAAATGCTCATGGACGTGCCCCATTCTTCCTCAGGCTTTTTGACGATCAAACTTCTGTCTTAGAGCGCTAAGGAACCCAAGTTATGTAAAAAAATCTTGGAATCACAGAACCATGTTGTAGTTAGTTAAATTATATCTATTAAGTAAAATTTGCTTTCTATATGGATACATGCATCCAGCACAAGAAAACCAACTAATGACTTCCACAAAAGACCCTGCAAAGTTTTAGGGGGGGAAAAACAACCAATTTCATGTAAGAGGTAGCATGTCCAAATAATTAAACAGAGACAAAAAATTAAGTTTCAAAAATAACAGTGCAAAACCAAATAATTCAATAATACCTGAAAATGGGTACTTTCATGGTTGAGGACATTGAAGAGTACATGTCTGTAAGCTTTTGGCTTGTGCAAGATTAAATCAATCAAAACAATCTACACACATTTTTAAAAAATCAGAAACCCAATTTTCATTTTATTTAGTTAAAATTACTCCAACAAACTAACAAAAAATATAAGGGCGTTGATTAGATTGCCAACAAAATTCAAGGGGTTTACCATGAGCTCACATTCAATATACTCATCAGCAACTGCTTTACAGTTCACCTATGAACAAATGCACAGCTTAATAAGAAAACGAAGAAAAAAATACTGATTTTTAGAAATAAGGAACAAAAGTAAATCTTACACATTTCATCAATCGAATGTTTCCCGGAGAGTATTGAACGAAAAGGGTTTTGATCCGAAACCCGCACTGGACACACCGGTATTCCATTAACACGTACGAGAAACGAAAACTAATACTAATAAAAAAGATGGCAATTTTTGTTTACGGCTTCATTTACTGCAATAGATTTGGTAGTGAAAAAGGCTGGACTTATTAAACTGCAAATCTGCAGAGCGAAACTTGAACAGGAAAAAAAGGAACGGAAACTGAAAATTTTACTCTCCAGGAAATGGTCGGATTGAACAGACTCCGGATCGGACCCATTAAATTGTTTGGATAATGAATTTTCTTGGAAAGGTCCAATATTTAGGGACAGGAGCCTATATATTTCCCAATGTTAACAAAAGAGGTATGTGAGCCAGGCCCACTTTGTTCCCAAGAATTTTCATACATATCTTTACGCATTTCTTTATTTAATTTTTATTTAAAATCTGCGTGCTCATGATTTTGATTTGAGAAGAAAATCTGAGATTGGGTAAGAAAATAAGAAATTGTGAAAAATGTTGGTATTGATTCAAATTCAATTGGATCCAGCCGAGTTTTATCTTAAAATTTGAGATGAAATTAAAACAAATAAAACATCACTAAAAATTAAGATAAATCAAAATCGAAAATAGATTTAATTTTTTTAATCAACTCAACGGCTAAAAAAGCGTACCTAACTCATTATCAGCCCAAATATTTTTTCCGACATAGTTTTTTTTTTGCAAAGCCCAAATATTTTATTGAAATTTATTTTAAAGTCTAAGACATCAGTCGACTTACAACAAATTTTCAAGCAATATCCAAACGTTTATAGGACATGATGTCTTCTTGAGATATGATCGGCTTTCAGTTAGCTTTCCAATGCATTTTACAATGACTCAATCAAACATTGGGAACGATTTGTAATTAAATTCAGTTTTATATAATTTCCCTACTACATTTAGGATCTTTATATTATTTTAGGATTTTTTTCTTTTAAGTAATGTATCTAGTATTAATGAAAAGATGCTAGGTTTTTTTAAGATTTTTGAAGCCTATAAATATGTAACCTAAAAGATTTGAGCAGTAAAAGAAAATTTTTGACCGAGATAAATATTTTTCTCTTGTTTTTTTTTTGTTTAATTTCACAAAATTTTATTGGAGGATAAAAATCAAGGAACAAGAATTTTTTTTTAATTAATCTTTATAGATTTAGTCTTTCTTGAGCTTTCTCAATGAAAGCCGATGATCTTTTTCTTTATTTATTTTTTTATCTTTATTTTGTTTTGGTCTATCAAGACCTTGATTTTTTTAAAACACTTCATTGAACGAGAGAAAATCGAATAACAATAAATAAAAGGTTTTAAATAATCTTCATTAATTTAATCTTCCTTAAGGTTTCTCGATAATATCAATGGGGATCTTAACTATTATTTCCTTTAAAAAATCATTTTGGTCCATTCTTGAAATCTCATTTTAATTATTTCTTTTAATTTCATTATTACTCACCTTAACTATTTTTTTTTGTTATTTTCTACGTTTGTTTTTTAAATTTATTTATTTTTCTAATTTAATTCTCTTTAGATTTGTTTAATTATTGCCATTGTGTTTCTTCTTTTTTCCCCTTAATTTGTTTTTCTTGAATTTACTTAATTATTGCATCATTTCTTCTTTATTTCATTTTGTTTTCTATTATTGTATTAAAACTTTATTCTGTTTTGATTTCATTAAAATTAGATTGTTTCCTTTCCTTTTATTTATTTATAATCTATTTATTTATTTCTGAATATTTTATATATATTTCTTTCGCATGAACTTTAAGTTACATCTTTCTCATTTAATTTATGTATTAATTTGTCATGTCATGTATGATTCACGTTATTTCTTTATTTTGGTATACGTGATCCATTTTGTCTCATTCTTACAGATTAAATCCAATTTGTTCTTATTTTTATTTTTACAATTTTGATTTATTTTATTTTTCAATCACAAATGCTCAAAGGAAAGTAGTTTGGATCATTATTTTAAAATTTAGCCTAAACTTCAATTTTCATTATTTAAGACAACATGTAACCGTATTGGTACCGAAAAGGTGATGTAGGGGGTGCTTATCATTTCCCACAAGTAATCGATTTCCAAACCTTTTCAAGTGAATCTCTGGTAAGAAGTAGACCCGGTTAAAGGTAAAATTTAGGTATCCGACAATACTGTAAACACCCATTTTCATCGGGATCTACTTCAAATTTCTTTTTGATAAATCAAATTAGTTATTATTATATACAATAGTATACAGTTTTATAAATATATTAGTATATATGTAAATAATGAGGAAATTTTATTAATAAATATTATTTATTTTCAGGTCCAAATTTAAGTCTGAGTTTCAGTCTAGGCCTGAAGAATCTGTTCACATTGGCCATGAAAAAAAAGAAGAAAATGTCATAATATAAGAGAATATCCTGAGAAAAATCTTGCTATATCAAGTGTGATCTTATAAAGAGAAATGTGATTTGATTTGATAAGATTAAGTTATTTCCTTAGATTGGGGATATTTTATGATTTCAGCTCGTCTTAGCCGTCGATGTAAATAATCTAGGTTGTCATATGTAAGGAGGTTCAGCTATAAATAGATTCCTCTTCCATCTCTTTAGAACACACACAGAAACACATAAAAAAAACAGGGAGATAATGAGAGAAAAATACATACAAAAGGAGAGAAAAAGGAAAAAGGAAAAAAGAAAAAGAGAGAAATCGTCCAAAACATTATAATTCAAAGAGCAAGAATAATAAAAGAGAATTTTCTTTCTTAAAGGTATCTCTTTTTATTGTTGTTTATATATTTTATTTATGTTATTGTAGTCTTGGTCATTCACGATCTTGTTTTCTTTGAAAACCTGTCCCGAGAGCAAACCAAACCAATGAATAAGAGGTGAAGAGTATTATTTAGATCTAATTCACCTTGAGGCTCTCTAATAAAACTCATTTAAGTATTATGTCATTTCAATCTTTTTTTCCTTCTTACCTAATCTTTGTTTTAACATTTTTTATTATGAAGAATTAAATGACCTCAATTTCTTTTAAATTAGATCTTTTATTTTATTTTTATTTTATTTTTATTTTTTTTATTTTTAGCTCCATTTTTATTTTAATTGAAATAATTTTTATAAAATGCCTCGTTAAAACCCCTCTTAAAACCTATGATGAGAAAATAGCACCTAAATTTCATTAACTTGAAATAGCATCGTTTACAATAATAGAAGATAAACATAACAGATAGTCATGCATAAAAGAAATAACAGTGGTGGAATTAGAAGCAAAGTTAGCCAGAGTATGCACATCTTAAAACCTATGATGAGAAAATAGCACCTAAATTTCATTAACTTGAAATAGCATCGTTTACAATAATAGAAGATAAACATAACAGATAGTCATGCATAAAAGAAATAACAGTGGTGGAATTAGAAGCAAAGTTAGCCAGAGTATGCACAGCCTAATTTACAGAACGGAAAATGGAACCGAGAAGATAATTTGGATACGAAGCCAAAATTTGATGAGCTTCGGTAAGAGTAAACTACATGAAAGACAAATTCGAACGATGCTGCTGAAATTGAGGAACAATTGAAAAATAATCACTCTCAATAAACACATGTGAATACCCTAACTCACTGACTAATTGCAAGCCATAACATAAAGAATGAGCTTCCACACAACTAGCTATACGGGGACAGTCGATTGGTTTCATCTTTTCACCTAAGACGAACCCATCATGAGCACGTAGCAGCGCAGCAATAGCCGGGGGCCGATCATCAGACGGACACACCCCATCAACATTAAGCTTAACAAAGCTCGAAGGCGGTTTCAACCAATTATCAGTATGGTTATAGGATGTGGTCTGATTCCGATTGGAGATAAGCATAGCACTATAAAAAAAAGACTGTATTACCTTACAAGAAGAAACAATTTGCCACCCAGGTAATAGCCAGTACTCATGAACGAAGACAGATTTACGATAAAAACATGATTGTAAATATAAACAATTGTATTTCCAAAAGAAAGTGCAACGTTTCGAGCCAAGTCCCGCATGAATCAAACATGCCGAAAGTCACAAAAGAAGGAAGGTCGACCATTTAGAAGATCGGTTGAACTGTCGAACAGTTACACAGAGAATGTATGACAGTCCTCAACAGCACCACAAAGACAACATTAGGTCCGATCCTGACATTTTAAGGGCCCTAGGTCAGGAGGTGATGACAAGAAGACAAGTGGGGGCCTACACTTAGCTTTCCTTCCAATCATTAAAATGGGGCTCATTGGATCACCATGTTTTCGAGTTTTTCTAATAAAAAATGATGTTTAAAAATATTTTTTAATTATTGGAGCCCACTGAATTATCATATTTTCGAGTGTTTAAAATAAAAAAATATGTTTAAAAATATTTTTAAAATATTAAATTTATTTTTTTTTAAAAAAAATGGGCCCCTCCAAGCTTGGGGCCCTAGGCGGTCGCCCCCTAGCCTATGCTCAGGGCCGGCCCTGGACAACACTGACCTTCAATAATCCCCACAAGGAAAAGATGGCGACCAACCAAAAGTGTAACGCCCCTAATCTCGAGTTAATAGTTAGGGTCAACCTAAAGACTAAAGTTGAGCCCAATTAGACCTTATAAAATAGTTGGACCCAATTTAGTGTTATTGGGCTTGAGTTGGGCCTAAGAGTTAGTTAGTAAGAGATAAATGTTTTATGAATTAGAAAATAGAGGGACTAAAAATGCAATTTGCCTAATTCTTAATTAAAAAGCTGAAAACTTCCCATATTTTATGAAATATACGTGAACAACTCCCTATTTTCCACCAAACACTCATCTTCTTCTTCCATCTTTTCTCTTTTCTTCAAGTTAAAGGATTTAAGAGTTGAAGGATTTAGGACTTCAAGTTTAGTTTGGTTCAAGCAAAGGTAAGATTATTAACCCTCACACTTCAAGCTTCATTTTAAGCTCCATTTCACTAGATTTTATCCATAGAGAAAAAATGGGTTTGAAAGGTTTGTGAGAATCTATGGATTCTAGCAATGTTTTGGATATTAAGGACTTATTTAGA